CCAGCTAATTTGCAGACTGTCCCCCATCCCATATTTGAGTGTCCCCAGCCCAGGCAGGAGCCATGCAAGTCTGCACATTGTATTTCTGCTGCTTTCGGAACCTGCCAAGCGCACTGCCCCACTTGGGGACAGACTTTCTGAGGGCAGAGCGCTCCTTGCAACTGGGCCCTGTAAGTCCCTGGGACACTGACATGCTCGCTGTCTGGGCTGCCAGCTGCTCTCCTTCTCTACACGAGCTGCTTGCTCACAGCCCCAGGTGACTCGGAACATGGGATTGACAAGGAGCCACTAGATCTCCCGCCTCCTCTCTCCTCCGCCCCCCTGGCTCGCAACCGACTCTTCCTATTTGGGGGGCTGAGGGTGCTGTGGCTTCACACCGGCTTTCTCTGGCCCCTCCCTCTTGCCCTGGGACAAGATGGGGGGGGCAGGGGCAGAGGAACAGTGGGGTCCTCTCTTGGGGTGCCGTGAGAATGCACTGTACCAGGGACCAGGCTCTGATGCGAACTAGCCATGACACTGGGCAAATCCCTTTACTCTGGTCACAGTTCTCTGCTCTACAAAATCCTCACAGGTTGATACTTTGTGGTTCTGTAGAATTTATTCCTCGTGTTACCCTGGGGCCAGGCTTCTTGGAGGACCTGAAAGATTCTATCAGTATTGATTGTTCCACTAGGAACCCAGCCCAAACCAATGTTAGCCAAAGGGGACATTTATCTGTTTACTGAATGGTTCAGAGGTAACCTACTTCAGGTATGGCTTGATCAAGGATTAAGGTGGTGCCACCAGCATCCATCATCTTGTCTGTTTCCTTGGGAGGACTTGATGGTTGCACATGGCGATGATTCCCTGCCCCACGGCTCCAAAGCCACCAAATCCCCAGAACTTCCAGTGCCCTGGGCACCCAGCCCTGTCACTCAGTTGCAGCTGTTGCTCTCTAAGCCTCGCTAGCTCCTACGACCAAACCCAACCGAGGAGACAGTCCCAGCATTTCCATAGAGAGTCCTGAAATTCACTCTGATTGGACCAGTTCAGTCAACTGGTCCAATCAGACCAATGGGACCAGGGATGAGGACAACCAGGCGGATCCCTGGAGCAGGGTGTGTGTGTGTGTGTGGGGGGGGGCGGGTCTCGCTCTCTAAACCACCAGGCTGGGAGAGTTGCAAACGGATATAGGCACTGTGTGGGTGGTGGGTGGTTGTCTGTCTTCAAAGATCTTACTCAGGGCAGGTGCCGCAGTGCACGCCTGAAATCCCAGCAGCTTGGGAGGCTGAGGCAGGAGGACTGTGAGTTGAAAGCCAGCCTCAGCAGCTTAGCAAGGCCCTAAGCCACTCAGTGAGACCCTGTCTCTAAATAAAATGTTTTTAAAAAGCTGGGGATGTGGCTCAGTGGCTAAGCATCCCAGAAAACAAAGAACTCCAAACAAGAACAGCAGCAACTAAAAGAACAAAGATCTTACTCATGATGCAAATTTATGCTCAGGATGCAGAGGGCTCGCTCTAATGACCCTCCCTGTGGAACTGGCCAAAGGAGTGCTCTGTGTGAGCTCAGGACTCCGGGAAGGTGTCTTGGAAGAGGTGGGACTTGAACTTGAGAATTTACTTGGAAGGGAGTCCCGAGGCAGGGCGCCCTTGGACACCTTCATGTGTGATCGACAACCCTGCAGCTTCTCTTGGCCTTGGAACCCCATAGACTGCAGCATGAATAGGTTGTCATTGCAGAAGCAAGAGAAGCCACATGAACTGTGTCCCTTCCCAAGTTCACGTGCTAGCCCTTGGGATCCCAGAATGGAACAGTATTTGGAGATAAGTGAAAATGGGGTCACGGTGGTGGGCCCTAATCCACCATGACAGGTGTCCTCCTAAGATGACGAGGTTAGCACACAGACTCCCACACAGGGAAGACTGTCGGGACCTAAGGAGAAGGTGGCCATCTACAAGCCACGGAGAGTGGCCTCAGAAGGAACCAGCCCTGCTGACAACTGATCCCAGACTTTCAGCCTCCAGAACCATGAGAAAAAAAAATTCTGTTAAGTCCCCCAGTCTGTGCTCCTTTGTTTTTGCAACCCAAGCAAACAAATATAACTGATTTCCAAAGCTGCCAGGGTTGAGCATCATGGCACATGCCTGTAATCCCAGTGGCTCAGGAGGCTGAGGCAGGAGAATCACAAGTTGGAGGCCAGCCTCAGCAACTTAGCAAGGCCCTAGGTCACCTATTGAGACTCTGTTTCAAAATAAAAAAATAAAAAAGCAATAGAGATATGGCTCAGTGGTTAAGCTCCCCTGGTTTTAACTCCTGGTACTGGGGAAACAAAATGTCTAGGAACCCCAACTTTCCTTGTCCCTTTCTGGTGGGGGTGGGCGGGGACTGGTTTTGCAATTTCCTTGCCCTCAGCAGCAAAATCATCTTAATCTCAAAGTTCCCCTGGTCACTTGCTCTGCACCGTTTCTAACAATGACACCCACACCTTGTCCCCACAGTGTAGGGGAGAAGGTGGAAGACGCAGCCAGATTCAGCTGTTTTTGTTGAAACAGGAGATGGAATTTTCCCCAGTGTAAAAATAATGGTGCCTGGTTCTTGTGGGAGGTGGACAGGGCCGGGGCTGGCACCGCAGGCCTCCATTCCTTCAGAAATAGCCACACAATGGCCTCATTTTCTCAAACTTGCAACTCAGAGAGAACTTGGCCCTTGGCAAGAAGAAGCCGCTCTGCTGAAGTGGAAAAGAGAGAGCCATTCGGTCCATGTGAGCAGCCACTCAAGTATTGGGACTTGAAGAGGTCCCCAGGCTTGTCCAAGGCATGGAGCCTCTGACAGACTCATGGTCAAAGACAAGGATGTGCATGTGCTTTGACGTCCTCCACACCTGGCGACGATGGAGAAGAACAAAGTGGGTGTTTGAGTCAGCTTTTTCGCTGCTGAGACTAAAAGACCGGAGCAGCACAGCTGTAGAGGAGGAAAAGTTTATTTGGGGCTCACAGTTTCAGAGGTCTCAGTCCATAGACAGCAGGCTCCATTCCTTGGGGCTGGAGGTGAGGCAGGACATCATGGAGGAAGAGTGTGGCAGAGGGAAGCGGCTCACATGGTGATCAGACAGCAGAGACTCCACTCTCCAGGTACAAAATATAGACCCCAAAGGCATGTCCCCAATGTCCCCCCTCCTCCAGCCACACCCACCTGCCTCCAGTGACCGCTCAGTTCATCCCATCAGGGATCAATTCACTGATTGGGTTAAGGCTCTCACAACCCAATCACTTCTCCTCTGAATCTTCTTGCATGGTCTTACTCATGAGCTTTTGAGGGACACCTCCCATCCAAACTGTAACAGTGGGGTATGGGGCTGGGGAGGGGAGATGGTGTTGGTGACTGAGTTTAGGGCTTGGACCCTTGTGAGAGGGCCAAAGGAGGAACCCTAAAAGGCGAGGGACATCAGGAAAGACACGGTGGGAAGAGAAGCACGTTTCTCCCTAGCCACAGTCTAGACCCTTGCTGTGGGCGGGTGTTCATGAACTTGACCTTCATATTACAAGCCCTGAGTCTCACCTCAGAAGATCTCAGACCTGGCTGCATACTGACATCTCCCACATGAAAAACCAGCGCAGGAGGCCCTGACTGCCTCTCACCCTATCCTAGAAGGAGCTGGAAGGATCTCTGGGTGTCCTGCCTTAACCACAAGACGCCAGCTGTAGGGAGCAGCCTGCGTAGGGTGGGGCGGGAGGAAAGGGTGGCGGGGGCTCAGGGGCCCTGCCATTGTCTGTTGCTCTCTTTGCATGGGAACTAGAGAGAGAATCTTTCAGGAACATTCAGGGCTCCAATTAGAATCTTCCTTTCCTGACAAGGGGTTTCCTTCCATTGTTGTGGTCTCCCCTCCCCCTCCAACCAGGCTCCCGGAGGGGAGGGGCCATTGGGGGTGTGCACCAAGGCTTCAAGACAGGAGCCGGGCAACCTGCGGGAGGACCCCTGGGCTTTGGAGCCAATATCCGGCTGCGGGGAGCTGCAGGGCCTCTGAGGGGCATCCTTGAGATCTGGGGTCTCCTCCTCTTCCTAGCAGGGACAGAGACCATGACTGAGCTCTGCCTACTCCCCTCTCCCCAGGGTCACTTGTACCTCTGCTGCTGTGAACACCTCCAAAGAGCCCCTTCAGGCCCTGTGGGGACCACCCTCCTGCCTGCTGCCCCCTCCCCCCCAGCCTGCTCACCCCCGCTCACCACCCCCCTTCCTTCTCCTCTCCTCCCCTCCCCCTCCCCCCTGAGCTCTCGGGGTGGTGTCGCCACTTCCTTGTTGAAGCCTGCAGTCTGACAAGGGGAGAGAGGGGTGAGCCGAGGCAGCCTCAGGAGTAAGTCTCCTGGCAAATTAGGCAGGATTTGAAATCCATTTTTTATTCTGCCCATTATTAATTATTGTTATTTCTGCTGTTCATTAGCAGCTCATTGCCTTGATCAACTCTGGGGAACAGAGGCTTTCAAAGCATTTCTCCTGGTGGAGACCCAGTCCAAGAACCCCCACCCCCCAGGGCTGTAGAGGGGTGCCCTTCAGGATACCCAGCAAGGTCTTCCCCTGCTGCCCTCCCGGATGCAGAAGGTGGAGCCCCCCCACAGCTGCACAGAACCCCAGTCTTCTTTTTAATACTCTACTTGAAAAACACTGAAGATTGAACCTGCATAGAGGAAAACAAGAAATGATACCCTGATCTTATGCCTCTACATAGACAGACCCACAGTCACCTAGGGCAAGACACACGCCATTCCCAGCACCTGTCCCAGAAGCCCCTTTGAGCCCTCTCCCAGCTGCTCTGCCTCCAAAGGCAACTGCTATTCTGATTTCCCCCCTCCCCTCCTCTTCCTCTTCTTCTGTGAGGAGCCTTGCTGTGTTTCCAAGGCTGCTCCAAGCTCCTGGGCTCAAGCAGTTCTCCCGACTCAACTTTCTGAATAGCTGGGACTAAGGTGCCCCCCATGTCTGGCTTCATTAAACTGACTTCTAATGGCATAGACTTAATTTGTCTGGTATTTATTTATTCACTTATTTGGTACCAGGAATTGAGCTCAGGGGCGCTTTACCACTGAGCCACATCCCCAACCCCCCATTTTTTTATTGTTTATTTTGAGACAGGGTCTCACTAAATCACTGAGGCTGGCCTCCAACTTGTGATCCTCCTGCCTCAGCCTCCAGAGTCACTGGGATTATAGAGGTGTGCCACCATGCCTGGCAATTTGTCTGTGTTTGAAAATAGTTGGTATGATATGTGTTCTTGCATATATGTGGCTTTTTTTTTTTTTTTAAAGAGAGAGAGAGAATTTTAACATTTATTTTTTAGTTTTCGGCAGACACAACGTCTTTGTTTGTATGTGGTGCTGAGGATCGAACCCGGGCCGCATGCATGCCAGGCGAGCACGCTACCGCTTGAGCCACATCCCCAGCCCCTATATGTGGCTTCTTTATCCTGTTGTTGCATGTAGCAGTCTTTTGTTTTTTTTTTTTCAATGCTGTATATTATTCCTTGGTGTGAATATATCATGATTCGTTTATCTGTTCTTGATAGGCGTTTGAGTTGCCATGTGCATTTGTGTGTGACTTTTGGTAGACATAAGCACTCTTTTCTCTTGGCTATATCCCTTGAAATAAAATCATGAGTCATAGGATATGCAATGAAGTCATGCCTGATTTTTCCAGGAGCAAGCCAACAGAAGGCAATTCTTAGTTCAGAGGCCTCAAAGAGAAATGATGGCAGTTTCAGGCCTTACATGGGTGGGGAGATACTTTTGTTTATGTGTAAGGTACATGGTTGCCAATAGCCACGTGCTTGGGCAGGGCCCTCTAGCCCTGACTATAAGTTTAGTCATGTGACTTCCTTTGACCAATGGGACATCAACAAGCACTATTTGATAAGCTATAGTCTGAATGTTTGTGCCCCTCCAAAATCCACAGGGTAGAACCTACTCTCCAAGGTGACAGTGTTAAGAGATTGGGCCTTAAGAAGTCACATGGGCTCTACCCTCATGGATGGAGTTGGCGTCCTTACCAGAGGGGCCCAAAAGAGGCTGTTTGCCCCTTCTGTGATGCAAAGACACAGCAACAGGGCATCTATGAAGCAGAGAGTGGCCCTCACCAGACACCAAGTCTGCTAGTGCCTTGACCTTGGACTTCCCAGCCTCCAGAACAATGAGCTATAACTTTCTGTGGTTTATAAATTACAAAGTCTAAGGCAGTTTGTAATAGTAACAGAAGCAGACTCAGCTGCTTACTGCCCCCACATGGGACAAAGTCTGGTCTAGCTCTCCTTCACATGAAAAGACCCCACAGAATGATCCAGATTTTGGGGATTGGAGAGTTGGATTTGGGAAGTTGCTTGCTACCTCAGGATAACCTGGCCTACCCAAACATGGGTACCAGAAGTGGGATTCGGCTGTAACCACGACCCTGAAATGTGTGATGTTGGCTTAGGGTTGGGTGCTAGATGGCCAGGCAGCTGGAAGGACTGGGCCTTGGTGGCGTTAGGGGGTCCTGCCCCCCAGTCTTCTGCTCCGGGAGTCCAGTGACTTTCTTACCTACATTAGGATGGATCTTCTCTTTTATACAACATTCCCTCGTCTTTTCTGGCTTTCTCTGTCGTCTTTTTCTGGTGTCCCTTCTAACTCTAGCAACCACTGACTAGTCGGTCGGGGCAGGAGGAGAGGATCTTGGGGACAGTAGCATATCTTTCAAGGCGAGGGTGTCAAGCACTTATTTTGGAAGAGAGAATTCAACACCAGGGCTGCCAAAGCATTGTGGGTAGACCTTTAGACATCCATCTGGGTTACGAAACTCGAGTGCAGCTTTTCCATGACTTGCTAGTTGATTACCCCATGATGGTGTCTGAGCCCCCTGCAGTTCCTATGAACATTGGGCTGGCAAGCAGCTGACCCCCAACTTCTCCTCCTAGCCATCGCATCCCTTTGGGCATTACTTTGTCTCTTTGGACCTTCCTGTATAGTTGCAACCTCTATGTGGGAACAATCATGCTGGCCTGGCCTTCACAGAGTGCTTAGGACATCCATGGCATAGAGCAGCGCTGGGTACCCATAATGCAGTGTGGGACAGTTATTTCCAGAAACTGCCATTGGTCCGAGTTGTTTCACTTTGGGGCAATGAGTTTTGCATTTTTCAAGGTCATGTTGCTTGATGGCCTCTCTCTTTAGCAGGTCTACCTAAATTTGGTGTGTTCAAGAACAACAGTGGTCTCCAAAAGCTTTCTCTTGCCATCTCCTTTTATATTTTTGAATCAGTGGGGACATTCACCTTGATGAGGCCCTTGGCTCATTTCAGGAAGACCTGTGAGAGAGTTGGACTCCTTACTCTGCAACTGAATCGTATCTGTACCTGAATCTGTATGTGCCACCAAAGCTTTTTTTTGGCGGTGCTGGGGTTGGAACCCAGGGCCTCGCACATGCTGGGCAAGCGCTCTACCACTGAGCCACCTGCCACAGCCCACTCATCAAAGCTGCTTTGACATTAGATTTCTTCTTGGAGTAAACCAAGGGGGTGAGTTCCAAATCCACAACCTGTGACCTAGCTTGCGGGGTTGGGGGGCTACTTTATGATCATCTGCATAATCCTGGGAAAACGGGTGCCCCCACCAGGGCACATCCTGTGCGTGTATAGGCGCATCTTGTTCTGGGAAGAGAGGTCACAGTTTCTTCAGATCCACACGAATGGACCCCAGGAGATGAAGATCTCCCAAGCCTCGCTCATTCCTGTGAGGTGAGATTTTTCTGTAGCATCAGAAACAAGCTACTGATGTTGAGATCTATTGTCCAAAAAAAGGAAAACAGCCCAAGGTGTCGGGATCTGTCACAGCTAGACCCACAGACATGCAGGGCTGGCGGCTCGGTTCTGTGACTCTGTGGGGATGGCTGCTGTCCCCTCCTGCGGATCCAGGTGTACGCGCCTCCTGCCAGGCTGGCCGCGGGGTTTGGTCCAAACAGCTCAAGGCAGAAGGCAGCAGCACCCAGGGGGAGAGCTGTCGTCATGTCCCCAAAGGCTAAACTTCCCCTTCCTTTTTCATGAACAAATACCACACTAGCATTTGAGGCAGGGGAGCCGCATCCAGGGTTAACCTGGGCGTGGGACCAGGGAGCATCTCCAGTGCGAGTCTCCCAACCATGCTTGTTCTTTTATTTTGATTGATCAAATTTTTTTTAAAGGGGACACCAGCAAGAGGAGGGAGGGGGTGGGGAATGATGCCAATGATTTCCCAGGAAATGCTTTGCTGAGAATTATCTTCCAGGGACGACCCACCCCTACTCCTTCATGGAAAGGCGCCCACTCAGGCGCTGCGCTCTTCTGTGTGGTCCCCAGGTGGAGGGTAGGGACCTGAGGAGGCGGCTGCCATGCTGTTCACTCTAGATTGAATGACACGCGGGAGCTGGCCCTGATCAGGCACACATAACTGGTCCTGCGGGGAGATGCTGCTTGGCGACTGTTTGTGGAGTAAAAAGAATTTGATCCTGAGATGAATGGCGCTTCCTTAGTCAAGAACCATGGCCCTCCCTGGGGACATTGGGAAGTGGGGGGATGTGTTCTGTTGTTTGGTTGCCACAATGACTAAGGGGGTGCTACCAGACTCAGTGGCCAGGGGTCCAGGGACACTCAACATCCTACAATGGGGAAGGGACTGTCCCATACAATGGGGATTTGTCCAGGCCCCAATTCCAATAGTGCTCCTGTTGACAGGGCTACTAGCTGCAAAGAAAGTTCCAGGTGTCCTTTCTAAAGAACCGATTGGTTCATTAAAGACTAAGGATCATTTTTCAAGGTGACCCAGGGGATTGGAGTAGGGACAGAATTCGTGGACAGCCTGGGCAGCTGGCAGCCCCAAGAGGCTGGGGGAGCCGAGGCCCATGGACCCCCTGGAGGTCAGGAGGAGCCAAGGCCCTGTGGGGGAGGGGTGCTGCTGGGTAGGGGAACTGGTTGCTGCAAATGGAAAAGTGACAAGGGCCTGAGGGGAAAATGGGCTCATCACTATGGTGCTGAGTCCCCTAGAGTGGGGCAGCTGGAAGGAAGACGGAGGGCCCAAGACAGGGACTTGGGATGTCCCTGAGAAAAAGGCGGAGGGGACCCTTTCCAGGCAGGTCTGGGACAGACAAAAAGGGCTGCTGTGGCCAGTTCTGTTGTGTCCCGCCCTCTATTTCTCCATTTCAGAGGGATCCTGGCCTCTGGTCCACATGCCAGACACCGGCTCTGGCATGGAGTCCCCTCTGGGAACTGAGTCCCTCCTGCTCTCAGATCGTGTAGCATAAACCGGAGTGCTCCCAGGGCTGCTCCCATCAGGCACCCCACCACATGCAGACGGGAGGGTCCTGCAAGCCCAGCCAACTGTCCTTGTGGACTGCCCACTCATCCTGTGTCCCCCAGCTCCGGACCAAGCCAAGGGACTTTCAAAAGCAGGTATTGAGGTCAGCTCCTAGCCCAGCGGCCCTTTGTCTTGTGCTAATCTGTGGTTTGCAAGGCAAAGGCGTGTGAGATGACAGCGCAGGGATAGAACTCAAGCTCTGCAGGGGGTGGGGGAGCTGGCTTCCCACAAGCACTGGGGGGAGGGACGGGGCCCAGCTGCTGACATTTTTACAAAGCAAATGTAGGGCTGAGCCGGTGACCTCAGTGTGATGGAAAAAGCCTGTCAACGGTGTGGCTGCCAGAAATGGCCTGTCTCTCGGCCCACCTGTTAGGAAGAGGAAAGGGAGATATTGAGTAATGTCACCCTCGTGAACAGTTGCCAAACATTGACCGTGGGCCCGCGCTTCTGAGCCCTCCATCTAGGCCAGCGCGGCGAATCGACCCGCGGCCTCATGCAAAGGGCTTTACTTACGCTTCCCAGTTGACAGATGAGGAAACTGAGACGGAGGGATCATTTACTCACCCGAGGTCGGACACTTAGGTGATGAACAGGGCTGTGAGTCCTGGCAACCTGGCCCCCAGCCCCTATGGAGCCAGCCCCCAGCCCCCAAGCCTGCTGTTAGGAGTCTTCAAACAGGTCCGGGGAAGAGAGGCTTTCATGTGCTAGGGGAGGAGGCTGCATGTCCACAGCGTCGTTTTTTGGCCTGGGCTCTGATGACCCACAGCTAGGAAAACAACTACCGTGTTATTAGTATCTCTTGCTGTTCTGGAGGGTCAACTGCCCTGAGGTAGAAGGTTCTCTCTCCTGTCTCTCGCCTTCTATCCCAGACAACGTCTGGGGCTGGATTGTTCTAAAATCTTCTCTTCTTCCTTCAAGCCACTGGCCACTGAGGCTGGCTGTTGGCTGGAACCTCAGTGGGAGCATCTCCATGTGGCTTCTCCGGGTAGGCTGGGCTTCCCCGCCACATGGTGACTGATTTCTAAGAGTAAGGGAGTCACACAGAGACACTTCTATTCTTGTTACAAGTCTGTCCCCATTCAAGGGGAGGGACTATGTTCCCCAGCTCTTGGGAAGAGTAATATCAGATTGTAAGAAAGGCATGTGGTACAGGTCTTGCAGCCATCTTGGAAAATGGAATCTGCTACGGCATTCTTCCTTAGAGTTTTTCATCTTGAAAGGGTCTCAACTGTCTGTGAATTAAGCTCAAATTCATCTGGAGTCCGTTTCCTTGGTGCCAAGATGCTAAATGAGTAGGGACCCAGAGCCTTGGTTAGTAGCCTGTGTTCTATCCATATCAGTTTCCCTGCGAGGCCAGGCACTGAGCTGGGAGCTGGGGACACAAAATCCCTGCTTCCAGGGAGGACACCAGCTATTAGCCAAACTCTCTGCCCTGAGGAGGTGTTGTCTTTGTGATTTTTTTTTTTGTACCAGCAATTGAACCCAGGGGGGCTTAACCACTAAGCCCCAGCCCCAGCCCATTTTTCATATTTTATTAGAGACAGGGTATGGCTGAATTGCTTAGGGTCTCATTAGGGCCTTGCTAAGTTGCTGAGGCTGGCCTCCCACTTGAGATCTTCCTGCCTCAGCCTCCCAAGCTGCTGGGATTATAGGCGTGTACCACCGTGCCCTGCTGCCTTTGGTTTTTATAAATATAGATGGAAAAAGCTCTAAGCAGAAGCAAGTCTTGCTTAGTTTTATACTGTCTCCAGGGGAGCCATACTCCAGAACTGCCCTCCTCTATTCTTACGTGGGCCGGGCCTGGGCTTTCATTGTTTATCCTTGGCTTGGACCTGAATTCTGATTCCCGTCCCCCTCATTCACATGTGAAGTGCTCTGTCCTCAGAGTGGAACTGCATTTAGGGATGAGGCCTTTAAAGAAGCAATTAAGTTAACATGAAGCCATGAGGGTGGGCTTAGTTTAACATGACCGGTGTCCTTCAAAGAGGAGGTAACTTGGTCACAGAGAAACACCAGAGACACTTGCACAGAGGCCAGATGACATGAGGACACAGGAGAGAGGTGGCCCTCTACAAGCCCAGGAGAGAGAGAGAGCCCTCAGAAGGAACCCACCCTTGATCTTGGACTGGATCATTCAGCCTGGGGACAGGTGGAGGTAGGAGGCAGCAAGGGGCACCCCCTCTTCACCAGCCTGGCCCCAGAGGGCTTGTGGCCTGTGGGTGTTCTGATTGGAGCAGCCCCCTCAATGCGCAGGCCTGAACCCTGAAGGTGCTCACTTGGGCTCACTTGGGAGGTGGTGCAGGGTCTGAGTCGGTGGAGAAGCACATCCCAACGTAGCCACCGGCAGCCCAGAGCCTGGGCCACTCCGGGCACCCAGGCTGCAGTCCTTTCTCCTTGCCCCGTTGCCACCACACACGAATCCAGGGCCAGTGTGGCCCCGATGCATTTTTTATTTTGTTATATTCTTTCCATTGTCCTGATGTGAATAATTTAAAGTGACACAGAAAGAAAAGGGCAGCCTTGGCCACAAAGGCAGGCTGTCAACTCCCCGGACCTCCGTTTGGTTTTGCCTCCCTGTTCCGTTCTGGCTGCTTCCTTCTCAAACCCACCTCTGGGGTTCTCTTGCTCAGCCGGCACGTCCGCACAGGCAGGCTCGCACACACTCTCCAGCGCCCTCCCCCTCCCCAGGTCTCAGTGGGCAGAGCGAGTGACATTTGCGTGCCTGTCTCTGAGATAGGGTTTCTCCTTCTTAGTGTGAATCGTCTGTCTCGTCTGCATTTCCCATTCTGTTTCTCATTTCCTTTCTTTCCCTCAATTCTCTGCAGTCACTGCTTATGTGACAGAAGGGGCTGGGAAGGAGCCTTATTTTCCCATCTCTTTGTTGTTATCACATTGCAGACAATTCTCTTGAAAATTCTTTTTTTTTTTTGGTATTACAGATTGAACCAGAGGTGCTTAACTACTGAGCCACATCCTCAGCCCTTTTTAACTTTGTTTGTTTTGAGACAGGGTCTCATTGAGTTGCTTAAGGCCTCGCTAAGTTGCTGAGGTTGGCTTCCAACTTGCGATCCTCCTGCCTCAGCCTCCTCAGGCTCTGGGAATACAGACATGCACCACCTTACTCAGTGGTCTTGGGAGTTAAGGGGAAGGGAGAAAAGGGATCCAAGGAGGATTCACCATTCTTCTCCTGCAAGGCTATTCATTTTCCAAAGACATAAGGAGCAAGTTTGGGGTTTGGACACTCAGGGGTTTCTGTGTCACCTGAGTCTTCTGTGACTGATCCACGTGGAACTGCAGCTGGCCACTGGCATTGTCTGGAAAGCAGCTTTGGCCTCTCTCAGCCTTGAAGTAGGAAGCAGGCTTTATTCGTCAGGAGAAGGCATGGCCAGGATTTCCTGAAGGTCCTGGCCTCTAGCCTGTAACCCGGCACTGTCCAGTAGAAATAGAATGCAGGCTGCAGATGTGAGCCACATCCATAATTTTAAATGCTTCAGGGGCCACATTAAGAAGGAGCAGGTGAAATTCCTGTGAATAATATATTTTATCTCACCCCTTTCTCCAAAATATGACCATTTCAATCTGTGACTGAGGGAAAAAAAAATGACGAATGAGATATTTGATTTTGTTTTCTTGGAGCTAAGTCTTAGAAAGCCAGTGGGTACTTCACACGTAGGGTAGATCTCAGTTGGGACTGGCCACATGGGAAATGCTTAATAGCCACATGTGGCCAGTGGCTACCAAGAGTGTAGGCCTAGCCTAACCCAGCCTGGGGTCCCGAGCCTCCGTTTTGGCCACCTAAATGACAGCAATATGAACGTGGCCTTCAAGTGCATGTATGAGGGAAAACCTACGCAGTGACACGTGGAGAATTGGCCGAGCCATTATTCCCCCTCCCCCACCATCATTAGTGGTAATCCTCATTAATGGGCTGGCAGAGCCTGGCTGTAGCCTTGTGGCTTCTAGTCCATGGAGTGTTCCGTGCTGGGGAGTGGCTCACCCGGAGTCCATTTGGGGCAGACCTGTGGGTGCAGTTTCCAGGTCCTGTAGGCCTGTCCCCCAGCTGGGGCCTCACCTCCTCGGTACAACCTCCTCCTCTCTGCATTAGGTCCCAGGCACTCCTCTGGCCTTTCTTTCTATATATAGTGCTCTGTGGTGACAGCTGGCCATCAGATGACTCATCAGTCACCACGGGTGTCTCCGGATGGAACCCTGAACATTTATTCATAGGGTACTCGGGCCGTTTCTGAACTCCTCCTAGTAACTCTGGCCTTGAGGGGGTTGTCTCGACGAACCTCATGGAAGCAGGGTGCAGTGGCACAAGCTTGTAATGCCAGGTGACTTAGGAGGCCGAGGCCCAAGGATCCCAAGTTCGAGGTTAGCCTTGGCAACGTAGCAAGACTCTATCGCAAAATAAAAAATCAAAAGGGCTGGGGATGCAGCTCAGTGGTGAAGCACCCCGGGTCCCATCCCCAGTACTGGAGGGAAAAAGTGGCCATTAGAGGTTTGAGTCATCCATCAGTGAGCCCCTAGCTGCCTGTGGGGACTTGGTCAATCCAGCAGGGCTTTGGGGACTGAGGTCTCCCCTGGCAGTAGGGCCCAGGAGATGTGAGCTCCTTTCAGACACAGTGGGCCCTAGGGGACTAAAAGCTGGCTTTGAGCCTGACAAGAGCTGCTTTAACCCAGGCGCTTCTACTCACCAGCTGCGCCGTCCTGGGCAAGTCCCTTCTGGTTTCTGAGCTTCCGTTTCCTCCTCGGTGTAGTGTGTTCAATCCCTGTGCAGCTGGTTAGCTGAGTGGGTTAGATGAGGTGCCGTCTGTAATAACTGTTATTCTTGCCCGGCCCACGGGCCATGTCACTTCCGCTTCCCTGAAGCCAACCCTAAGATTGCCGCAGTCTGGCTGGGCACAAATGCCGTCTGGCTGGGCACAAATGCCGCAGTCTGGCTGGGCACACAATCACGAGCCACCACACAGCTTGTAGATTCAAACAGCAACTCTTTATTCCCGAACTCACACCAGCCGTCTACAAACACGTTCTGGGGAAATCCACGTTCTCTTCCCAAATCCACGTTCTCTGCCCAAATCCACCTCCACTGGGCTTCTATCTCCAAAATATACTGTCTGAATCCCGTGAGAACTCAAGGGGAACTCAGGCAGCAGGATACGCCCTATTCCCAGCAGGAATAATCTTAAACCTTAAACCTGGAACCTAAACTGGGAACGCCCTAAACAAGATTATCTTAAAACCGGGAACACCCTAATCTGCCTTGGTCCTTGAGCAAGGTTAAGTACATTCAATGTCACTGCAACATGTCAGCAACATGGGGTACGCTGGCAAGGAAATTGTCATACCTACTTGGCTAATGGCTCCCAGCATAAGATAAGGATTTGTGGGGAGGTGAGTTATTATGAAGGGCCTGGGGAAAGTGGGACCAGGAGGGACAGGAAGCCAACTGCACACTAACTTCCTCTGTAGAGTGTCTTAGCTTGACCTGCTGTAACAGAGTAGCCTGGATTGGGTGGCTTATAAACCACAGGAATTTTTTATTCATCACATTTGTGGAAGCCGGGAGTCTGAGACCAGGGTGTGAGCATGGTTATACTCTGGGGAGGGCCTTTTTCTAGGTTGTGGACTTCATATGGTGGAAAGATGGCGGAAAAATGGCATGAGCTCTTTGTGGTCTCTTTGGTAAGGGCAGTGATCCCATTTGTGAAGCCTCTACCCTGTGACCTCATCACCTGCCAAAGGCTCCTTGAGGATTGGGATATCCGTGTATAACTTTGGTACTTGTTTTTGCAGTATTGGGGATGGGTCCCAGGGCCTCACACGTGCGAGGCGGGCCCTCTACCACTGCGCTGCAGCCCCAGCCCAGGGTGTCAATAGGTGAGTTTGGGGAGAGCACAAACATTCTGTCTATAACAACAGAGTAGCTTCAGTCTGACTGATATGAGCTGCTGGGATTACAGGCGTGTTCCACCTGTACTGGCTTCATTATTACTATTTATCACTTAAAAGATTGTACCCAGAAATGGTGGCACACACATGTAACCCCAATAGCTCAGGAGGCTGAAACAGGAGGATCAGAAGTTCAAGGCTAACCTCAGCCACTTAGCAAGGCTCTTGGCAACTTAGCAAGACTCTGTCTCAAAATAAAAAATTAAAAAGGACTGGGGAAGTGGCTCAGTGGTTAAGTGCCTCTGGGTTCAATCCCCCATACCCAAAACACCAAGAACAGAAACGAAAGAAAGAAAGGCGGGGGAGGGAGGGAGGGAGGAAGGAAGGAAGGAAGGAAGGAAGGAAGGAGGGACAGAGGGAGGGAGATTGCTTAACTAAGGGCACGGTATATACTTTATATTCATAACAGTGGAATTGAAGAAAGATGCTTTAAGAGGCTCATTAAGACCAACATTGAAAATTTTACAGTAATTCCATTTAGTTATTTGAAAAAAAAAAGTCACATTGCCTTGGTAACAATACTTTTTCTTCCCGTTGCCCTGACTTATTGGTGTCTTTGTAGAATCACCCCATTTGCCAGTGAGTCTGTGACCTGCCATCCTCTGCCGTCTAGCATTGTGGGACTTTGGCGAAGGAAGTGCAAATGAGCATTTGAAATCCACTGGGATGGAAAAGCCAGGAAGTCTTGAAATCTCAGGTTGCCAGGACCCGAGAATCGTCAGCCGGCCTTGACCCTGGACTCAACCCATGTGGAGAGGCCCATCTTGCCTTATGTGATCCCTTCCCAAGGATGCTGCTCACCAACTTTCTGGCCAGGGGAACTCCTGAGAGAAGCTGACGCTGCCTGAAAGATTCCCTAGTTGTTCAGTGACAAGTTGGGGAGCCACTGTCACTCTCCGCTTGGCTGAGGTTTGAGTCACAGAGTGACTTTGGAGCCCACAAATCCAGGCAGTTCACTTCACACACCGGAAAAATTCTCTCCTGGGCACAAACAGCCCCACCTCGCCGGCTTCTCTGTGGGCCAATTCACCAAAGTTTTCCATGAGTCACAAAGGAGAAGGGGCAGGTGGGGAAGGGTGGTCCCTGGGGATAGCCATTGCAAACCCACAGGGGTAAGAAAACCAAAACCTTACCACTGTCTGAGGCATTGTGTCAAGAGCCAGCATGGAGTGATGTTTGGTGAAAATCCACACAACACAGAAAAACAGGCACAGCATCTACAAATCCACTGTTCTTCATCCTTGAACTTTGAGAGGGTCACTTATTTGTGAGGGCTTCCCTGACCCCTGGGTGAGTGTCTTGTGCCCCTCTACATCTACTTTTTTTTTTTTTTTGGTACTGGGGATGGAACCTAGGATCATTCTATCACTGAGCTACATCCCAGCCCTTTTTGAGATAGGGTCTGGCTAAGTTGCCCAGTCTGACCTTCAACTTGCAGTCCTCCCGCCCTAGCCTCTGAGTTGCTGGGATCACAGGCATGTGCCTCTGTACCTGGCACCCTTTTGGATCTTTTGCTCAGGCTATTTTTGGCTACGTGAGGGGGTTGGGCCACCCAGGAAGGACAGCCCTCCTTAATGCCCCCAAGTTGGCTAGATTAGGATTTGGTGGCAAATGCCCCCGTCTCCTCATCCTCCAGGTGGGACAATCTGAAATATGTTCCACACTGTGAACCACAGATCTCCTGTGGGTCTGAGGTCCATTTGCCTACACCAGTAGCCTGCCTATCATCTCTTATTCTGTGCTCTCTCTCAGGTCCCCCTTACCCTACCCATGATTTCAGAACTCACCTCCCCAAGAAACAACCTACACTAAAAACTTTACATCAAGCCATGCATGGTGGCACATACCTACAATCTCACTACTTGGGGAGGCTGAGGCAGGTGGATCACGAGTTTGAGGCCAACCTCAGCAACTTAGTGAGACCCTATCTCCAAATAAAATAAAAAGGGCTGGAGGGTGTGGTTCGCTGATAGAAGGCTCTGGGTTCAATCCTGGGTGTCAGGGGAAAAATAAATCAAAACCTTGCATCAAGCTGAGCAAGGTGCTATACACCTGTTATCTCAGTATTTGGAAGCCTAAAGGAGGAGGATCGCAAGTTCAAGGTCAGCCTGGGCAACTTAGCAAGACCGTGTCTCAAAATAAAAAAAATAAAAGGAACTGGGGATATAGCTCAGTGGTAAAGTGTTCCTAGGTTCAATTCCCCAGTATGGAAAACAAAACAAACAAAAAAAACCAAACAAAAACCAAAAAAACCTTTGCATCAGACTTTGCCTGTAGGGTAGAAGAATACTTTCAATCTAAGTCTCAAAAAACAAAACAGCCAGGCACACAGCTGGAATTCCAGTAGCTCAGGAGGCTGAGGCAGGAGGATCGTGAATTCAAAACCCAGTCTCAGCAACTCAGCAAGACCTGGTCTCTAATAAAATATAAAAAAGGGCTGGGGATATGGCTCAGTGGTTAAGTGCTACTGGGTTCAATCCCTGGTATCAAAAAAAATTAAGTCTCTGTCCTTTCTCAGGACATTCCCCACCAGGTAGCCAGGATCTGCAGTTGTGCGATTGCATGTATGGTTCTTGGTTTAATGTTTGTCTTTTCTAGTAGAATTTAGGCTGCATGAGGGCAGAGACAATGCCCATTTTGTCCACTGGTAAATCCCTATACATTACTCAGCCTAGTAACCAGTGCTGCATGCCCAATAGAAATTCAGTTGAAGGAATGAATGAATGCACAATCTTTAGGGCTTTCTAATCTTTTGCCCTTCTGGGTGATTTTAAAACATGACCCTCTGGGCTGGGGACATAGCTCAGTGGTAGTGCATATACAAGGTCCTAGGTTCCACCCCCAGGACCAAAACTAAATTAAAAAAAACACAATTCGAAAGTTTTGTGACACACCTTCCAATGAGAAGTGGGGTCTGTTTCTCTTTCTCTTGTATCTGAATGTGCTGGTTTCTGCTTCAATCAAGAACAGGCCTGAGCTGGGTCACAAAAGGTTATGCAGCTTCTCCCTTTGAGCCTTGGGCAGCTGTCATATAAGAACTCTGACTACCCTGAGTCGGCCATGCATGGAGGAAGCCCAATCCACATGAAGAGGCCACACAGAGGTGCTCAGATCAATCCCAGCTGAGCCCAAGTGAGTCATGGCAGCCCAAATGCAGGTATGTAAATGAAGGAGCCTTCAGAAAGTTCCATCCCCTGATGCTTTCTGGTCTTCTCAGTGGAGACTGAGTTATGGAGCAGAGAGAGAGACATGGTGTCACTGTTGTTCCTCTCCAAATTCCTGACCCACACAAACTGTGAGCTTAATGAAACGATTGTTAAGCTGCTAAATTTCAGAGTAATTTTTTAAATGCAGAAATAATGGGAACAGTCTTACTGTGAATTTATTCATTCTGTGTTCATTCAGTAGTCATTTAGCAGGTCCCTACTATGTACCTGGTGACGGTTATGCAGCGTGGCCAGTGGCATCAAGATCCCTACCTCCTGGGAACTTGCAGTCTAGGGGCTGCCGTGGTAACTGTATCTTGTGAAAACCTGTGTGTTGCTTTTTAACAATAATGAGTAGGTTTTTCAAAACCACTTCCAGATGGTGTGGGGGGAGGGGCGCTTCCTGATGAGTTACCAGGGGAGGCTCCAGAGGTAGGTAGATTAGATAACATGGACCCAGAGAGCTCTATTATTTGCTGGCTGTCAACCACGTCCCCTGCATCATCCACAGACTGGCTGCACCCTCACACTCTGGGGGAGAGACTGGGGGAGCTTGGAGGTGCCATCTCTGAGACAGAAGAACAAGAAAATGACTCCGGCAGGCTCCAGAAGGGAAGTTGGTGTGTGTGTGTGTGTGTGTGT